CGACCTGCCAAATCTTCCAGTGGTAGACTTCGGTAAAGACAAGATTGAAGGCGCCGAAGAAGAGGTAGAGGATGCCCAAGAGGATGGAGGAGAACAGGCACAGGTTGAAACACATGGGCTCCAAGAACAGCAGCATGAATGGACGATACAGGGATCTCACTACCGTCCAAAAGATGGACTTCTCGTAAACCTCGATCGGAGCCTTGTACCTGTCGTCGCCCGTCTCTTTCCGCTTCTTCTGCGCCTTCTTCCTCAGGACCACCGGCATGTACGTTTCTGGCACGACCACAATGATGGCGATGACCATCACTCCGGACCATATCAAAAGCGTGTAATACGACCATCGCCAGGTGGTGTTGTAATTGATAAACCCTCCTATGATGGGGCCGAGTCCTGGGCCGATGAAAGGGGAAGCCGTATATATCATCATGGGCGCTTGCAGCTGGTCGCGATTGAACATATCTCCAACGGTCCCGCCCGCGACGGACAAGAAGGCGCTCCCAGAAAAGCCGTCCAGGAACCGGGCTATCAGCATAGTCTGAATATTCTGTGCAAAGGCACAGGGGAACAGCCAGATGGTGAAGAATATATATCCCAGAATATAAATCGGACGGCGACCATAAAACTCGGATAAAGGCCCCAGGATCATGGGAGACAACCCCAGGCCAAAGACGAAGAGGGACAGGCCGAGCGTTGCAACAATCCGTGAATTGCCAAACTCTGCGTCCATTTGCTCTGTGGCGCCATCAGCATCGGAACATGACTTGGAGGGAAGCATTATTGGCATTTATACTAACCATAGGTGATGGTATAGAGGGAAGAAGTGCACGTTACACACAACGAGCCAAAGGCCAGTGTTATGACCACCAGCCATTTCTTTCCCGGATGCATGTTTTTGGGATTCATAGGGTCATCTGGACCGTCCCAACCCACTTCGAACGTCTTGGACGGATTTTCCACGTCCACCTCTTGTGGCTGCTCCGGCTCATCGCCAGGTTCTCGGTCACTGAAGAATGTGCTGTGCCCATCCACATAAGATCGACCAGAGTGGATACTGGGTCGAGGCTGACTTCGGTTTGTCGAAACGGGAGTCAACGAGGCTGGATATTGACGCGGGACATCCAACAAGATCTCCTTCTTCTCCGCCTCGTTGGTTTCATGGTCTGCCATTGTGGGCGAAGCGTTGTGTCAACAAGCCCCGAAAGAACTTTTGGAGAACCGAGGAAAACAGGAGGCTACCCCGAGTCATTCAGACGCACAAGATACTGGCCAAGGTCGGAATATAGAGAGCACAGAATGATATCAGCCAAGGGAGGGAGTGAAGCTAAAGGGAAGAAGAAACATCGATATGGGGCGATCAAGGCCATGTTGATGGAGAGTATATGAATGACGATGAGCGTATAGCCGGCTATGACTTCAAGAAACTATGGCGCTATGGGGAGAGTCGATCGTACAGCGATGAGTCGAAGAATTCGGTGGAGTTATCGATGCAGCAAAGTGGGAGTTGTTCCGCGGTAATCAATTCCCTAATTGGCGGGGCGGAGGGTGGGATTTCACATAGTCCCGTAGTTCATCTCAACCAGGAAGATGATGTTCGAACAACGCCTCGTGGGATCTTAGCAAATTCGTACATGTTCGATGGTACGAGATGCTTTGGGTTCGAAGTTTCGACCAGTTAAATCCGAGCTCATGGGATGCTTATAAACCCTTCTCCACAAGAGGTTGCTGCACCGATTAAAGCCGTTGTGGCCGAGCTTCGGAGAGGGCTGGGCTCATCACCGGACCAGCGGTGAAGGTAATGATGAGGGAAAATATTCCACTTGTTTGGACTCCTATTGGATGGTATACATATTTTGGTGGTTGGATGTACGAATCAGGTACAAAAGCTCCAGACAAGCTCAATCAAAGGTTTGTACATCAGGCATTCTCCCGAGACCAGCACCACTACCTTTGCTGTTGGGAGTGGCGTTAACATCCTCCAGAACGCCGCCTGCACTCCTTTCCCTGACATGCCTCCGTAGCATGTGCAGTATTTCACTGTCCTTCCACCGTTGGGGAACAGGTCTATATGCAGGTCTGAAAGTCCCCACCGTCTGAGCCCACTCTCCGCTGCGCGGAGCTCCTTGTCTCCATGTGTCGGTTTCTTGAGTTTGCCCCGGGTTCGCCGGGGACGCATATTCGGTCGTCTGGGTCGTCTTGTCACTCGTAGCACCTTCTGCAGACTCGATCGAGGTGGGGGAATTGGCCGGGGATTGAGTGGCCCAGTAGTAGATGTCCCAATCGTTCTCGTCCAGGAGGAAGTCGTATTGCTCGAGTTGAGTCCTAGTCATGGAGGCGAGATTCTCTGCTGCAAAAGTGGAGAGTAGGAGGTCAGACTCTAATGTCCCCCGTTTCCTGCTTTGGTCTATGGCAACACGTCAGCGAGCTCCTTAGACACTTGAAATCTCCTGGGTGCAGAATGTTGCATCCCAGGGTGTGCACCGACATAGTAATCTGGCTCTCATGGTGGGAAGGTCTTCTCCCGTCCGACGTAGGGGTTCGACACGAAACGAGATGCCCTCCATTTCACCAACAGCATATTCTGACTGGCTTACTTTGTTGGGATCTCCCGGTTGTGTTCCTCCTGTCATTTTGTCTGTGTTTTCTGGAACTTTGTCCTTCGGGATGTACTTGGAATCAACAGAACTCAGCATTTCTGGTGGAGGCGCATCCTTGCCCACCGAAGGCATCTTGTTGTGAATCGTGGAGTTTGTGTTTGTCATGTGTGGATTGTCTGCTCTCTCCTTTTGGTATTTGCGATGTTCTTCGGTGTTGGAATGGACTCGAGGGTTCTCATTGAAACGTGACGAGGTAGAGGAGATGCAGCGTCGCGACACGCTTGCAGCCAGTTGGCGACCTGCGATGCGTCTAGTAACCAGACGTGAGGCATTCATATTGGCGACAGAGGGATTATTTTAGCCGTACACAAGCTTGGGAATACCAGTGGTGGTCGGGTTTTTGTTGTTGAACAAGATACAGTTGAACAGTGAATTTGGTGGTTGAACGTGACGCAGGAGCAAATGTGAGGAAGTTTCATCGTTGACATCATACATCATCACCTTTTTCTCCATCCACCAATGATGCCAACCACTTTCTGGTCCTACCCAACAGCCAATTGAAGATGGGCTGAAAATCAAGCATGTCTTTCTGTCAGATTCTTAAACATGGTTCAAGTTGAAATAGCTGGTGAACTATTTGGAGGCTTGCTAGAATATGACCTCAAATAGGACGACTGTCTCACTACAACCGTCTATATGGGAGTTTTGGCTTGTTCGCAAGTATCTCATCGATCTCAGCCATCACAGCATCATCCAACTTAGCAACCAGATCCAACGCCTTGATGGATTTCGTGATCTGTTCCACCTTTGATGCTCCAGTGATAGCAGAGCTCACCCTCGGGTTCTTCAGTACCCAGGCCAATGCTAGAGTTGCCTGATCAGTACCCAGCTTGTCAGCTACCGGCTTCAGTTGTTTGACTTGAGCCAGAAGCTTCTTCCATTGCTCATTCCCATAGCTCTCTCTTTGGGAGGCGGTGAAACCGTCCGCGGCTTTGGCAATTCTGCTGTCCTCGGGGATACCGTCATTGTATTTGCCCGTCAAGATACCCTGTTTGAGCGGACTGAAGATGGTCAGGCCGAGTCCGTAATTCTCGTACAGCAGGGCATATTCTCGTTCGACGCGATCCCGGGCCAACATGCTATACTCCGGTTGCTCCATGACAGGTCCAATCAAGTTGAGCCGTTCTGCACAAGCCCAGGCCATGGCGATTTCCTCACTGTTCCACTCGCTCGTTCCCCAGTAAAATGCTTTTCCGGTGTTGACAACATAGTTCATGGCTCGAACAGTTTCCTCGATCGGAGTGTGTCTGTCGGGACGATGACAGTAGATCAGGTCGACGTAGTCTAGCTGCAGTCGCTTGAGTGATCCCTCCACTCCTTCAATGATATGTTTTCGGGAGAGACCACCGTTGTTGACCGGGTTATCTCCATGGGCTTGACCCCAATAGATCTTGGTCGAGATGACCAGATCGTTGCGCTTCCAACCATATTTCTTAATCGCCTTACCCATAACAACTTCGGATTTGCCGTCGGCATAACCTTCAGCGCAGTCGAAAAAGTTGATTCCAGCATCATAGGCTGCCTTCATGCATTCGAAAGCAATCTCTGCAGGGCCGAATTAGACTTGCACGACTGGACGGGGTCATAACCTACCATCTCCCACAGCATCCCCGTATGTGACCCTGTTGCACTTAGTACGGAGGAGTTTCGTGCATGTTCGGCATCACTTACCACCCTCCAAGTGAGATTGCAGACACCTGTAGTCCAGACCGACCAAGGAAACGGTATTGCATTTTTGGCAGCTGATCACCGGAAGAAGCCATGGTTTGATGGTTAGATAGATCAAGAGAAGGGATAGAAGTAGAGTAGGCAACGAGCAGATATATGACTCAGGACGGAGGGACAGCGAGAGCCAATTCAGGCGTATCTGAGTCGACTTCAGGTTATGTACGCGCCAGCATCGTTGCATTTAGCCGGTACTCCGCGATGGTAACGGGCATGACTCCGGTATAACGCCCGGGCGCAATGAGGCGCATAGGAAATGACAGATGATGATTACAGGGGAATACGGGGTTCAGGCGAGTCGGAAAACTCCATTTGCCGCACTCGATCAGGCATGTTGGCTGCATTAAATCGATCGTCTATCGTTGAAGAGCTGGCACGGCCAACACGGCTCTATGGGCTTTGCAGAATCAACCATGCGACTCCTTGCGCCGACATTTAGCCGCAAATTCAGGATGTCCACAATGGGATTAGCGCCCGCGAATCTTGGCGTGGATTTGGAGAGCGCACAACTGCAGAGAATCTTTGGCGGAGAGGCCAACGTCTCGACAGGCGAATCTTTGACAACCATCTCCCTCAGACACCAGCCCGTTCTGTTCTTTCCTGGATCTTCAAGTCGCCATGGCTGAACAACTTATTCAACGTGGTACTCTTGAGGGCCACAGCGGCTGGGTCACCTCCCTCGCGACCAGCTTGGAGAAGTCAGTTACCTGCGAGAAAACCACCTCCATCTGCGACCGTCGACTGACATTGAAAATTATAGCCCCAACATGCTCCTCTCGGCCTCGAGAGATAAGACCCTCATCATCTGGAACCTGACTCGCGACGAGACTGCCTACGGCTACCCGAAGAGGTCGCTCCACGGCCACTCCCACATTGTCTCCGACTGTGTCATCTCCTCCGATGGCGCATACGCTCTCTCCTCTTCCTGGGACAAGACGCTGCGATTGTGGGAGCTGTCCACGGGCAACACGACTCGAACTTTCGTCGGCCACACCAACGATGTCCTCTCCGTTTCCTTCTCCGCAGATAACAGACAGATTGTCTCAGGGTCCCGAGACCGAACCATCAAGCTCTGGAATACCCTGGGAGACTGCAAATACACCATCACTGACAAGTGCCACACCGACTGGATCTCGTGCGTGCGCTTCTCCCCGAACCCTCAGAACCCGGTCATTGTGAGCTGCGGTTGGGACAAATTGGTCAAGGTAAGAAATAAGCTGTCCCACGAGGTTCCTCCCATACAATTTTTGCCCAAGATGCTACGCAATTTATTAGTGTTTGCTACTTCGGAGCCCCTTCGGGGGCCATGAGACAACTATTCACCGGCGGACTGAGGCGAATCATATACAACAATCTTGTTTTCAATTTTGAATCTCAATTTTGATTTGGAGCCGGTAGATGGGGTTTGTGCTGACCTCACATTCTTTCAGGTCTGGGAACTCGCCTCGTGCCGCCTCCAAACCGACCACATTGGCCACACTGGCTACATCAACACCGTGACTATCTCCCCCGACGGATCTCTCTGCGCCTCGGGCGGCAAAGACGGCACCACCATGCTGTGGGACTTGAACGAGTCCAAGCACCTGTACTCCCTGCAAGCCGGTGACGAGATCCACGCGCTCGTCTTCTCGCCCAACCGATACTGGCTCTGCGCCGCCACCTCGTCGTCCATCACCATCTTCGATCTCGAGAAGAAGAGCAAGGTCGACGAGCTCAAGCCCGACTTTGTCGAGAAGGGCAAGAAGTCCCAGGAACCGTACTGCGTCAGCCTGGCCTGGAGCGCCGACGGCCAGACCTTGTTCTCCGGCTACACGGACAACAAGATCCGCGCGTGGGGCGTCATGGCCAGAGCATAGAGCGGGGGTGGGTGATTGGATTTTGTCTTCTCGGCCCGGTCTTCCAAAAAAAGAAATAATGGGTAGATAAACCGTAAGGGGAAACGATCCTCACGAAGCAAATGTGTTTTTTACGAGAACAAAAAACAGAACCCCAAGAGGCAGAGGCAGGGAGAGCGAGGGCGAGAGTGGGGAGAGGGTGTGTTGTAGAGACGGAGGATTGAAGGAGAGACTGTTTGACGGACAGGGGACGAACAAAAACCTCGGGCCTGATTGCTGCTCTCGGCGGGCTAGCACGAAGACAGAGAGACACACACCCACACCAACGAAAGGGTGGGAGAGTGAACAATAACAGGGCTTTGTTGCTGTCTGCTACTGCTACGGACCTATCTCTATCGCCTCCTTCCCCCTCCCCGGGAAATTGTAAGCCCATGGTACTCGGTCGTGGAAAATGGTTGAGAGATCAGTGGCGTGTTTTTCCCCTTTGAGGCGTGCGTGCTCCCCTTTTGTGTCTGTCTCTCTCTGGCGGATGGTCCATGAGAATGAACACGCGACAAGACTTTGCTTCTTTCTCCCTCCCTTCCCAAAAACGATCAAGACCAGTAGAGAGAGGCAAAAGCCAATTCACGGATTGCTTGAGATGATGCCTCTGCATGATTTCTTCTTTTGGTTGATCTTGCCTATCTGTCTGTAACTCGCAGCTCCTTTTCTCTCGTTCATTTGGTTCTTCTACCCCTTCACGCTCTAACCATCCACTATGCAGTAGTGTCCTTGACCATATTCCTCGCCCTGACACGCTCCTCATGCTTCAACTTATCGGCAACCTCGCCACCCGAGCTGAGCAACTCCTCCCACTCCTCCTCGTCCATGTTCATGATCATGCAGATCTGGGTGCAGCGCAAAAACGCCTCGCGTAGGCCGTACTTCTGGCCTTTGACGACGACCTTGACGATCTCATTGACGTCGTGCTCCAGCCTCGCAGCCCCGACTTCGTTGACCCGCCCGTGGTACGTCCACAGGCGCTTCTCGAGCATCTTGCTCAGGTAGTTCACCACGATCGCCAGGAGCTGGTCAAACGTGCGCTCCGTCATGATCCGTCCGATCGGTTTCGTCAGCGCGTCCCATCCCAGTTGGAAGCGCATGCGGACTTCGTCCGAGAACGACTCGGTCTCGTCTCCGCCGTCGATATCGCCCGCAAGGTCCTGCAGCTGCTCCCGCGAGAGCTGGTAGTCGGTGTCGCGGAAGGCGTCCATCAGGATGGGTCGGAGACGAGGTTTCATGACATTGTGAAAGACCACGTTCACGCCGTCAGAAATGAGCTCGTTGGTTTTCTCCGAGAACACTGAGGCGAAGGAGGTCAGCAAAGCCGCAACCTCGTCTGCCTCGCCAGGCCCGGGGAAGAGTTCTGCTAATGGTCGATGAGGTGAGCCTGCGACGGGTTCCACTCGAGCACGGGCAATCTGGACAACGTAGTCCTTGGCTACGTCGAGATTGTTGATGAGGACGAGGAAGGAGACGATGGTCGCCTCGGGTGGGAGCTGGCCTGGAATTGCGGCTTTGGGGTAGCTCTCATCGCGCATCTTGCGCTGTTCCATGCCGATGAAATCGGAGCCTAGTATTCTACCCAGAGTAGGGATGACGCTGGAGATGACCTGTTTCTGTGACGTTGCTAAAGACTGCTGCAGGACTTTGTTGACAATGTACATAATGTCCTCGATTGCAGAGCTGACGTGAGGTGGATTGGAGTTGAGTGGTTTATGAGGGTTGAGAGACAAGTCGGGTGGTTGCTCGTCTAGCTGGAACGCCTTCTCGACTGAGCGCCGGAAGAAGAACGTGGTCATGGTGTTGAACGGGGTCAGGAGTTTCTCCTGCACTTTTTTGTGGAGGTTCGAGTCGAGGAGGAATGAAGGTATCGACAGTGATCCATCGGGGCTGCCAGCATCGTGACATTTTTCGGCAATAAAATTGGTGTACAAGGACCATTTGCCCAACATGAGGGTCATCTCATTGAGTAAGGCATCGACCTGTTTCATATCGACCGATTCATCCTCACTCGACCTTCCTGGTGCGGGAGAGCCTGCTCGTGGCGTTGCGCTTGAACCTCGCTGTGCATTCATGAAGCTCTGGACCAAGAACGTGAAGGCGTATGCTTTGATATCTGTCAGCTGGCGTTCGATCTTCCTCTCGTCGCTCCAAGTGTCTAGTATAATCCCTCCTTGGAGATCAGCCTCGACTTGCAGCCGTTCAATGACTCGTGCCATCTTGCCGGCCCCATAATGGCGCTCGACCAGTCCACCATGTCCCTCGATGATTTGTGCAATATGCTCGAACAATTTCGTCAAGGCGTTTGCGTAGAAGAAGCCGTCTTTGCTCTGGTTGCCACCAGTGCCAGCATTGAGGTTGGCACGAGCCCGAGTAGCGACGCCCTGGCAGACATAGCGACCATAGACGTCCAGGCCAACGTCCGAGCGGTTGATCAGTGGGAAGAGTTTGAAGAAACGCGTTATTCTAGCGCCGTCGTTCTCCTTGATTGCTTTGTCGAACTCTCTCAGAAACAGGTTGCACAATGATTCCGAAGCATTCTCCAAGGTGACAGCAGGGGCATCGGGGACTTCTGCAGTCGGAACTATCCTCGCGGCGAATGGGCCATTAATGACAGCACTGGGAATCTTTGAGGCTCTGCTAAGATAGCTGGCTGCGGTTTCCCAGTCCTGAGCCGCTCCCATGGATCCAGATACACCCAGCACACAAGCTTTCAATTCCCTGACCTGCTCGACGACGGTGAGTGTAGCCTTGACCCTTTCCTGCTCGAGGTCGAGTCTCTTGACGGAATTTGAGATTCGTTGGGCGTTCGCTGCAGCGTCCGAGAGCATGCCATTGCTGACTGCTCTTGCCTTGGAAGCCTGCGCAGTGACATTTGCGCGGAACAAGTCCAGACGGCCGAGTTCTCGTTGGAGATCCTTCTGCGCACTGATAAGAGCATCGAGCTGCGAGGTTACTGTGGCCTCTTTTCTGTGGAGCTCAGCCAATGCGGCACGGATCTCTGACACGGATTTTGCGTTGTAGACGCTGTTTGTTTCACTTTCGTGCTCTAGATCAGGGACGTGGCCATTGGTCGTCATATTGCATCAACGAATGAGTGAGGGATGTTGTGATGTGAACCCCTCCAACCTGTTTGCGACGTGATCGGGATATATGGTCAGCTGGGCTGGCAGCGTTGACGACCAGTGGCACCAAAGTCCCCATTGATTGTTTTCCTCCGGAAATAGAAAGCAACAAGCTTCATTCTTGAGGGGACATTGTCGACTGGTGCTGCACCACTACCACAAGTTTCAATCGAATTGTGTGAATTGTAGACAAAAGGACAAAAGCAGCGGCTTCGGCCCGCAGCCTCCAAAAGTCACAAATTGCTCCGCTCCGAAGTATTACCGGCCACACCCCAAAAAAAGTTGACTGCACATCCTGCGGTGCTCAAATTGTCCGACAAACAACGGCCAGGAGATACGGCCAACTTGAAAAAAATGCAAGAACCCAAGCGGCCTAAACACGGAGCCAAAGGGAAGTCGGCCACAGAGGTCCTCGAGAAAGATGACACCGAACTGCGCCTAGAGAAGGCCCTGTTCGGAGACGACGCAGGCTTTCTCAATTCGTTGACGAGAGACCAGATCGAGGAGAATCGGTCGTTGGTGCCGCGCAAGCATGGAAAGGATGACGAGTCTGAAGAAGACGATGCCGATGGAGGATTGAGCCATGTGGCAGACGAAGATGTTGGTGTCCAACCCCTCTATCGTCTTCCCTTCCTAACGTTGTTCACAGTTGTTTTTCCTCGACACGGGTGCCGACCAACTCACGCCCTCCGTTGCGAAAGAACTCGAACGTACCGAAAAAGTGCATGGTCATCATCAGCCAGAACCAGTGTGGCACGACAGTGACGATGACCGGATCACCGTCTCACTCGCCTCAAACACTCGCTTGCGCAAACTTCGCGACACGGAAGACGATGATGTGATTAGTGGCAGAGAATACATACAGAGACTACGACGACAGTACGAGAGGCTTCACCCCACACCGGAATGGGTTACATATGCGAGAAAGAGGAGAAAGTTGTCTTCCCGCTCCGATGATCACGATGCGATGTCAGACTCAGATGTGTCCATGGACGAGAACGACTCTCTCCCTTCGGCGCAACCTTTGGCTGAACTTCTCCGAACAGCAGGGTCCCTGACTAGGACAGACAACAAGAGACCAGGCACAAAGGGAACCCGGAGGCTGCGGCCGGAAGTCATCGACATCCAGCGATGCAAAGATGTAGCGAGCTCCGGCCCCTCTTCAGTCGACACATTGCAATTCCACCCATACTACCCTCTTCTTCTTGCCGCCGGACCAAGTTCGACAGTGACGTTGTACCACATCTCACCTCAACCGCCGAATCCCAACCCCATTTTAACCTCGCTACATCTGAAGGGAACTCCTCTGCACACGGCGGCATTCTGCCGGCCACGAGCCCAACCTGCTGCCGAGGACGCGAGCGAGGCACACGACCAGACCAAAGTATTTCTCTCTTCTCGACGGCGGTATTTCCATACCTGGTCACTCTCCACCGGCACCGTCACCAAGGTAACTCGTGCACTCTACGGTCAGGCTCGCAAAGAGCAGCGAACGATGGAAGCTTTCAAGCTGTCCCCCTGCGGCCGCTACATGGGACTGATCGGCTCGTCCAAGAAGGGAGGCGGGAGCATCAACGTGCTGTCGACAGAGACCTTGCAGTGGGTGTGTAGCTGTCGGATTGATTCACGCGGTGGCGTGGCGGACTTTGCGTGGTGGCGCAACGGGGACGGGTTTGCGGTGGTGGGAAAGAATGGGGAGGTCAGCGAGTATGACATCGAGGCGCGGAGGGTAGTCCTGAGGTGGATGGACGACGGCGCCGTCGGCACGACCGTCATCGCCTTGGGCGGGGATTCCGGACAACAGCAGTGCCGGGGCGGCAGCCGCTGGGTCGCTGTGGGCTCTTCTAGCGGAGT